TGCGATGTGCCCTGTAACTGGTCCTGTAGCCCTCCTGACGCCCAAAAGCTGGGGATGGGGTCCCCTTGTAATACACTTTGACATGTAAAAACAGACACCAAGTAAGGCTACAACCCAAACATAATAGTTCCTACCTTGTTGGGTCTTGTTCTTTAGTGAATGCTGCATGGTGGAGGGTAATGGTGTTGTTTCTGGTAGTCGAGAGGTAATAGCTTAATGTCACCTGCTCAAACCCAGCAAGGAGATGGGGGAAAAAACGAAGATTATTATCAACAAAAAATTCTGTCACTTCAAACAACTTGTGTTACCTAACCTTACTCCCCAAAGGTGTTCAAAACATGATATTGAAAATAAAACTTGGATTAAAGCATTTATGAGGTTTCATTTTTGAAGCATTTCTCCAAAGATGTTTTCAGAATGGATGCTTTTGAGGCAACATACCATCACAAACGGCTAAGCTTAATGTTAAAACCAATGTATGAACTTTTGCTGTTCAGTCAATTCACTGGAAATGAAAGCAAACACACACAGGCTCGGGAGACAAGTTTATCTTCATTCCTTGAATTAAAGAACACAAACCATCAGGATTGTGATAAAAGCCAGCAGCTCAATAGGAACTGTGCTTGTAAACATGGCGTACAGTACAAATTCAGTCACCTGTTTGGGTAACTTGGACACGTCAAATCTACTCAAGCCTTGTAAATGTGAGTTGAAAACATTCAGTCTAGTAAGAGGTACCTTCAGAAGACCATCTACAACATTTAAACACAATGTAGTTTTAAACAGGGACAATCAACCAAATTTAAACAGACCATGTAAGAGAAAACTCTTTACCGTACAGAGTAGCTGCTGATATAAAACTGTGACATGCTTTATGAGTAAGGAATCAAGGAACATCCCACACCTGCTTCATGAAAAGTGTCCAGGTTAAAAAAAAAAAGAAATTAAAAACTGACAGACCGACATTATCAGGTGCGAGGGCAAAGTTCATCACAGACAAATGT